AGAGAGAGAGAGAGAGAGAGAGAGAGAGAGAGAGAGAGAGAGAGAATATATCAATCTTAAGCAGGCTCCAGCCATCTCAGAGCCCAAAGAGGGCTCAATCCCATGACCCTGAGATCATGACCTGAGCCAAAAACAAGAGTTGGACGATCGACTGCACCACCCAGGTGCCCCAATAGCATAAATGTTTTGCTGCAAAATATAAAAGACCGTATGTCTCCTTTTTGAGCAGAACGAACAGAGAATAAATACCATTTCAGGAGGTGCTGGGGGATGACTCAGAGCCAGGCTCTAGAATCTAATGCAAGTGCAAGCAGCCACAGCCAAGGAGATCAGACTCCATGCTAACGAACTCGTGCTCAAGAAACAGACAGCTTCATGAGGGTCCAACACCGGTTGGAGCAGAGGGAAATGGACCAAGCCCTAAATGTGATCTAAAAGTGCTTAACAGCATTGGCCAGCAGAAGCAAGAACAGATATCGAAGGGAGGCAGGAAAAAAAGCTGATTTTTCTCCAGAGCTCCAGATGTCTTTATCGCTGCCTAATGACAATTACACTCAACCAATTAAGACGCCACTATGACAGTTGCATTGTCGGTAAGCCTTTGGACCCCAATGTTGATGGCTCTCTAATTAGTGTCTGTGCAAAGTACAACTGCAACTAGTATATTAGCTGATGTAAGAGCACTAAAGAAAAACTGAAGGAGAAAGAAGGCTTTTCAAAATAAGGGAGGATGTCCCAGCCCATGGCACGGACCAGTGACACTGTATGCTCTCTCAATCTCTTTTACGCTTGGCAAGGTTACCTCCAAATAAATAGGTCAGAGACCACAGCTGATTTTTTGTTGAAAGAATGGGAATAGAGCCTCTCTCAACCTCCGCTCGCCAGAGCAATTGCCAATTTTCGATGATTTACCACCGAAGAGCTTCCATTAACTAGTAAGTTTCCACCAAACGGACTACTCATTTGGACTAAGAGACCCGAAAGAAAAGAAGAAATGCTGTGCAGTTAAAAAAAAAAAC